CCTAAACCCTAAACCCTAAACCCGAAACCCGAAACCCTAAACCCTAAACCCTAACCCTAAACCCTAAACCCTAAACCCTAAACCCCAAACCCCAAACCCCAAAGCCTAGACCCAGACCCTAGACCCTAAACCCTAAAACCCTAACCCTAAACCCTAAACAAGGACTCAGGAGTCTAGGACGTCAGCGTTTAGGATGCCGAGGGTATGCGTCAAGGCCATAGGGTTTAAGGTTTAAGGTTCAAGGGTTAAGGTTTAGGGTTTAGGGTTTAGGGTTTAGGGTCTAGGGTTTAGGTTTAGGCATAGAAGCCTAAGCCGGACAAGATGTGGGCCTTGCCCTTGCGGCACTTGAGGTCTGTGCTTGGCTTGCACGGAGGCCTTGGGCGGTTTAGGGCTTATAGGGCTTATAGGGCTTGTAGGGCTTACAGGGCTTAGAGGGCTTATGGGGCTTATAGGGCTTCTAGGGCTTATAGGGCTTATAGGGCTTAGGCCTTTGGCCTTTGGGCTTTGGCCTTTGGGCTTAGGGCTTAGGGCTTAGGGCTTAGGGCTTAAGGCTTAGGGCTTAGGGCTTTCAAGCACGGTCAAGGCATGAGACTTCAAGGACTGTTGGATTCGCGGCTGTGGAAGCTGAGTGACGCAAAGGGGCCGGTACCTGAACACTTGGGGTTAGGGTTTAGGGTTTGCCGCTTCGGATGCACGGCTCCGGAGCTCTTTGAATATGAGGCATTGAACTTGGGGTTTGGGGCTTAGGAAGCAAAACTGAAATCCTGAAAAAAGCGTTTACCCAGTCCAAACGTGTTCGGATGTCCTACAGGCAACATGCTAACCAGAAATGTCATTGCGGAGGCAGCAGCCCAGGCTGAAAGGGAGAAGGTACCCGGCGACTATCCTTCTTACTAAGCGCCAGAAACACCGAGGGCAACAAACTCCTGATCTACTTACACACTACTTTCCCGAACTCCAGAAATCCTAAACCCTAAACCCTAAACCCTAAAAACGTTTCAGGAACCCATCTTTGAGTTTAGGGTTTGGGATTTCGGGCTTAGCCAGGATCTAAGGGTATAGTTATATGGCCCTATGGTCCCTTACCGCCTTTCAAGGGTTTAGGGTTTAGGGTTTAGGGTTTAGGGTTTAGGGTTTAGGGTTTAGGGTTTAGGGTTTAGGGTTTAGGGTTTAGGGTTTAGGGTTTAGGGTTTAGGGTTTAGGGTTTAGGGTTTAGGGCTTCTGAAGTAGGGGCCCTTGGGTTGTACAGGTATATGTGGGGTCCCCCCATGTAAGGGCCCCATACTACGGGACCGTGTAACTACCCTTAGACAGGAACCAGGAAGCACGCCTCTCTTGGGATGTTCCCTGTTACACAAACAGTCCTTGATAGAGATTATAATATAATATAATAGGGGGGGGTAACTATAATCCCTAGTATCCCTAAACCCTAAACCCTAAACCCTAAACCCTGAGCCCTAAACCCTATGAAGGACTGCTAGTATATCAGGGGGAACATCCCGGGGCCTATCCGTACACCCCGACCTCCCAACCAAAACTGCCAGGTCGCATCCAGGGCCACCGAGCCGCCAGCAATCTCCCTCAGGAAAGAACTCCGGGTTTAGGGCTTAGGGCTTAGGGCTTAGGGCTTAGGGTTTAGGGTTTAGGGTTTAGGGTTTCGGGTTTCGGGTTTAGGGTTTAGGGTTTCGGGTTTAGGGTTTAGGGTTTAGGGTTTCGGGTTTAGGGCTTAGGGCTTAGGGCTTAGGGTTTAGGGTTTAGGGCTTAGGGCTTGGGGTTTAGGGTTTAGGGTTTAGGGTTGAGGGTTTAGGGTGTAGAGTGCAGGGTGTAGGGTGTAGGGCTCAGGCTAAAGCACTTGAAATTAGCCTCAACCCCTCCTATCCTCAAGACTCCTACGCCCCGAAGCAAGACCTTCTATCTATGAGTAGTTACGCAAATTAGGTGCCCATACGACATCAGAACCCTTGAAGGAGGATAGGGACCAGATTAAGGGCCCATGAAACTGACCTCAGATTCTAGACACAAGACTAACCTAGGAAATGAAAAGGGCGCCCCTTCAGGTTTAAAGGGGCTTATAAAGTGAACTTTAAAAAATGGAATAAGGGCCTGCCCTGTATAAAGCTAAACCCTGGGAGGCAGCTAGCCCTAAACCCTAAACCCTAAACCCTAAACCCTAAACCCTAAACCCTATAAACCCTAAACCCTAAACGACCATGGTGATAAACATCAGACGGTCTGGGAAGCCATGAACCCTGTCAGACCTGGAGGCATCTCCCTCTCTCCGGTCGAGCGAGGCAGCCGTCAGGAACACGACGCCGCAGAACAGCACTGCGCCTGGAGAGGAGGGAGGGTTTGGGGTTTGGGGTAAGGGTTTAGGGTTCAGGGTTCAGGGTTTAGGGTTTGCGGTTTGGGGTTTGGGGTCTCGGGTTTAGGGGTTAGGGGGGCTTAGGGGTTCAGGGTTTAGGGTTTAGGGTTTGGGGTTGGGGGCCTTGGTGTTTATAGAGCTGACGGTTCTGGGCGTGGGGTGGATTGTTAGATTGCAGAGGAGGTTCCGTAGTCTATCTTGACCTAGCGAGCGGCCTTGAATAGTGGCCTTGTGAACCCGCATACAAAGCACTTTGAGAGTGGCGGGGTCTTAGTAGGGTCTGGGGGCTTGAAGGTTATGATTCTGGCTTGGGTGTTGGGATGGATTCAAGCCTCGATACACCAAACCCCGAACCACCAAACCCTAACCCTAAACCCTAAACCCCCTAAACCCCTAAACCCCTAAAGCCAAGAACCCTCAGCCCCCGAAAGAACCAGACTCAAACCTGGATAACTCACAGCCTAAAGCCTCCAGAAGCCCGCCGAGCCCTTAGGGTTTAGGGTTTAGGGTTTAGGGTATAGGGTTTAGAGTCTAGGGTTTAGGGTATAGGGTTTAGGGTTTAGGGAGCTACCCAGCACCTAAGCCAGAATCCTAGAACCCTACTCCCGCAACTCCTATACCCCTAAAACCCTAAACTCCTAAATACTAAAACCCTAGAACCCTGGAACCCTAAGACCCCTAACGCCCCTAAATCCTGAACAACAAAAACTAAAACCCCCAAACCCCCCAAAAAACTACAGCCCTCCCCAAACCCTAAAAAACAACCCCAAAAAACTACAACACCTAAACCTGAACCCCAAGAATCTCAACACCCCGATACCCTAAACCCCTAAAGGAGAACACGGCCAAACCAGCCAACCATGAGACCCTCTGAACAGCATTCCTACAAAGGATCCCTAAACCCTAAACCCCAAACCCTAAAACCCTAAAACCCTAAAACCCTAAACCCTAAACCCTAAACCCTAAACCCTAAAACCCTAAACCGGCCTAGAGCTGCAGCTCTGGGCCAGCTGCGGCCCTGTGGCACCGGCTCGCTGAGGCGCGCCTGAGGCTTCTGGGATGCGGAGGTTTAGGGTTTAGGGTTTAGGGTTTAGGGTTTAGGGTTTAGGGTTTAGGGTTTAGGGTTTAGGGTTTAGGGTTTAGGGTTTAGGGTTTAGGGTTTAGGGTTTAGGTTAGGGTTTAGGGTTTAGGGTTTAGGGTTTAGGGTTTAGGGTTTAGGGTTTAGGGTTTAGGGTTTAGGGTTTAGGGTTTAGGGTTTAGGGTTGATATACATTTTAGGTACAAGTAGCTATAAGAAGCCATGAGGTGTCTGGCATGGCTCTGGCCACCCGTCGGGATCTCGAAACTTCGACATGGTTAAGGATCCCTTCAACCCTAAACCCTAAACCATAAGGCTAGGGCGTATAGGGCCTTTTAAGGCTCAGGGTTTGGGGCCTGTTGAGGCTTGAGGGTTTAGGGTTTGAAGGTTTCAGGGGCAAACTTCTCCCAATTTGACCCTGCTAATCGCATCCCGCCATTATCAACATCCCACACCGGCGGTACATTCCTCCCTAAACCCTTAACCCTAAACCCTAAACCCTAAACCCTAAACCCCAAACCCTAAACCCCCAAAAAGGAAAGGCGAAAACCGCTTGAACACCAAGGGCAAGCTGAAACAAACGAGAACCTCTTCTAAACGTCGACCCTCGGAGAGCTGGGTTTAGGGTCTAGGGTTCAGGGTTTAGGGAATAGGGTTGTGGGTTTAGGGTTTAGACCCAGGAGGAACCTAGAAATAGAGAGGGCGCCCTTCTTGTTTTAAAGGGGCTTCGAAGGCGAACAAGGGCCCGCTCTCGGCCCTTCGGAAACTTCGTGCTGCCCAGCAGCATATGGCAAGCTTTCCGTGCCATCCATGCCGGTTTTGCGCAGCTGGACAGTTTGACGTGGAAGTCGCTCTTGCTCTTTGCGCGCAAGAAGCGAATGAATATGTTCAGCATACTTTCTTGGGGCATACCCCTTAACCGAAATTTCTAAGGGGTGTGGTAAGGTCCTTCCTTGTGTTCTCCGTTGATAGGTCAAGGGGTGATGTTGGGGCATGTTCTTAAAAAGAACGCATCCAGGGTGGTGTTTGTTTGTCTTGTTTGAACCTGGACTCTGAACAGCGAGAAGCCCTAAACCCTAAACCCTAAACCCTAAACCCTACACCCTAAACCCTAAACCCTAAACCCTAGACCCTTACAGCCCTTGCAAACCCGACGAAGGGTCTTTGCAGATCTGGGGAGGCAGCTTCCCTAAATGACGACATGGTTCCAGCCACATGTGGGTGATTCCGCTAAGCTTGGGCGGCGCAGGCGCGTGCGAAACAAAAAAAGATCCAACTCCTGGCGCCGAAAAAGATCAGCCCTGAAATGGACAACCCTAAATCCCTTCTGGGGATAGGGTCCAGGGTTTAGGGTCCTTAAACCCTAAACCCTAAAACCTAAACCCTAAACCCTAAACCCTAAACCCTGCACCCCCAAATGTCGCTACATTCGGACAGGGCCATCTGGAAGGCTTGACATGGGCGTGTGCTGGGGAGGCTTGGCTAGTCTAGACGGAGACAGGCAGCGACAGAGCAAGACCCCCTGGCTCTTAGCCAGGGAATGAGGGAATTAGGGGCCTATATATATACCCCTTAAGGGATTATATAGGGTATCTTATTCCCTCATTCCCTACTAAGAACCAGCCAGAAGAGAGAGGGAGAGAGAGAGAGAGAGTGAGTGAGTGAGTGAGTGAGAGAGAGATATGGACGTAAAGAAGACAACATGGAACCAAAGATTGAGCCAATGCCAACCTCAGCCCAAAATTTCCCACCAAGTACCCAACCCCCATATGCACCCACATCCCCAAAATCCCCCCCAAAAAATCTCCCAAACCCCCCCAAACCCCCCCAAAACCACCCCAAAACCCCCAAAACCCCAAAAATGTTCTTGGGTTGGATGGGCGTCTGCTCTTTTTTACGCGGTGCTTACTTGTGGCCCGCTCCTGCAACGGTGGCCATCTGGCCTGTCCATCTCCTTCTTCACTCCAAGGTGAACTCCCACACCCTACTAAAGCCTCTCAGAAGGTTCAGGGTTTAGGGTTTAGGGTTTAAGGTTTAGGGTTTAGGGTTTAGGGTTTAGGGTTTAGGGTTTAGGGTCTAGACCTGCATAAGGAGCCTCACCTTACGCCCCCGAAGTTGCGCCAGCTTCAGGGGCGCCCATATGCAGAGCTTCCGGCGCAGCGCCCATTCCTGCGGCCGCGCAGGGCGCAACCCGACCCTTTCGATAAGTCTTTGGACCCTAAACCCTAAACCCTAAACCCTAAACCCTAAACCCTAAACCCTAAACCCCAAACCCTAAACCCTAAACCCTAAACCCTAAACCCTAAACCCTAAACCCTAAACCCTAAACCCTAAACCCTACACGAGATGAGCTGGCTGGATCTGGTTGAATTCCCATGGGTTCTATACCACAGAACTTTACATTTTGCTTCCAAATCAACCCCTAACCCTAAACCCTAAACCCGAAACCCTACACCCTGAACCCTGAACCCCAAACCTACACCCCCGACAGCTTGCACTCCCGAAGCATGTCCTGCATTCTGTTCTCCGAGTTGATGCGGCTGCCCTGCTGTTGTCTTCGTCTCCACCTACTAAAGGGTCCTTAAGGAAGGGGGGTTCAAGGGGGGTTCAAGGGGGGTTTAGGGTTTAGGGTTTAGGGCTTAGGGTTTAGGGTTTAGGGTTTAGGGTTTAGGGTTTAGGGTTTAGGGTTTAGGGATGTTTAGGGTCTAGGGTTCAGCATCTCAAGTCCAAGCATTCACTAGTCAAGCAGCTTGTCAAGCGTTGGAAAAAACCCCACCCACCCAAGAAACCCACAACATTGAGAAAATATAAAGTTCACTCAATACTTTCCCGGTGGGCTTAAAGCTCAAAGTCCAGTTGGCCCAAAACCCGAAATCTAAGGCCCACAATAGACCCCTAAACCCTATGCCCCAAATCCTAGGGCCTTAACCCGTGAACCCTATGGTTTAGGAGCTTCAAAAAAGGGAACCCCAGGAATAAACCCCATGCCCCAAACCCGACAGCCCTAAACCCTATGCCCCAAACCCTAAGAGCCGTTTGAGCCCCCCCGGGTGGAAAAAAAACCATTTGCCGACGAAGCGGGTCAGGGTTTAGGGCCCCCCCGGGTGGAAAAAACCATTTGCCGACGAAGGGGGTCAGGGTTTAGGGCCCCTCCCGGGTGGAAAAAAACCATTTGCCGATGAAGGGGGTCAGGGTTTAGCGCCCCCCCCCCCCCCCCCCGGGTGGAAAAAAAAAAACCATTTGCCGACGAAGGGGGTCAGGGTTTAGGGCCCCCCCCCGATTGGAAAAAAGCCATTTGCCGACGAAGGGGGTCAGGGTTTAGGGCCCCCCCGGGTGGAAAAAAACCATTTGCCGACGAAGGGGGTCAGGGTTTAGGGCCCAGAAAAAAACCTCATGCCCACGAAGCCCATTAGGGTTTAAATATACATAGTAAGAGGGTTTAGGGTTTAGGGTTTAGGGTTTAGGGTTTAGGGTTTAGGGTTTAGGGTTTAGGGTTTAGGGTTTAGGGTTTAGGGTTTAGGGTTTAGGGTTTAGGGTTTAGGGTTTAGGGTGGTGGGTTTAGGGTTTAGGGTTTAGGGTGGTGGGTTTAGGCCAAGGCTCCCCAATACTCCCCACTACTCCCTAAGGCTCCCTTAGCTTCCCTAAGGCTCCCTGAACCCTAACCCTAAACCCCCCATCAACCCCCCCTTCCTTGAGGACCCCATAATACACACACGGCTAGGCGCCGATAACCAGCACTGTTGAGGGTTTAGGGTTTAGGGTTTTGGGGTTTAGGGTTTGCGACTCAGGCGGCGCATCTTCGTCATAAGGTTCTTGAGCCATGAAGTGCACCCCTCCTTTGGCTCCTATAAGCCTGTAAGTTTAGGGTTTAGGGTTTAGGGTTTAGGGTTTGGGGTTTAGGGTTAGGGTTTAGAGCCTAAACCCTAAAGCGAGGATAGAAGGTTTAGAGCTTAGGGTTTAGGATTCCGAAACTGAGGGAGGGGGGGGGAATTACCCATCATGTACCCCACATTGCGCACAACCCTCCCTCATTAACCCTGAACCCTAAACCCAAAAACAAGTACCCTGCATTTTGGGGAACCCCGCATGAGTACAATGACTGTGCTGCTCTTACCTGGGTTTAAACCCCTCGACCCGTCGCAAAAGATGGTGCGGTTGGGGGCATGACCCTACAAAGCCTGTAAGCCCTACAAACCCCATACACCCCATAAACAAAACAAAAAAAAGTAGACCGTCTAAGCCCTGCAAAACCCTACGACCCCTTCAAACCCCATACACCGTATAAACCCCGGAAACCCGAAAACCCATATGAATGAGACCCTCAAGTCCTGTAAACCGTACGTACAAACCCCTATACACCCGGAATCAGTCGACTCACTTTTCAGCAAGGTTGTAGGGTTTGGGAGTTTAGGGGTTGAAGAGTTCAGGGATTGAGTTTCAGGGGTTTATACCCATCGATCAGGGGTTTAGGTTTGTGTAGGTTTTAGGTTTGAGGGTTTAGTGTTTTGCACGCCAAGACATACGCTAGGGGATAGGATTAGGGGGACCCTTGGGGATATAGACTCTCTCAAGAAGGTCCCTGCTTAAGAGATCCAGAAGAAGGTTCAGAAGGGTTCCCTAAACCCTAAACCCTAAACCCCAAACCCTGAACCCTAATCCCACCTAGGATCCACCCGGCCTCAGCGGCACCTTCCGGTGATTCCTAACACCAAAAGCCGTCTGCCGCTTGTGACGAGGCCATGCCAAAGGCAGGGACCTTGACCAGCTTTGGGTGCAAATAGGGTTTAGGGTTTAGGGTTTAGGGTTTAGGGTTTAGAGTTTAGGGTTTAGGGTTTCGGGTTTAGGGTTCAGGGTTGGGATGTTCCCCCTTATACGAATAGTCCTCTTCAGGTCGATTTTGGACTGTTGGTATAAGGGGGAGCATCCTCAGCGTTTAGGAACAAGAGTCCTGAGTATGATGAAATCCCCAGGGTTTAGGGTTTAGGGTTTAGGGTTTAGGGTTTAGGGTTTAGGGTTTAGGGTTTAGGGTTTAGTGTTTGGGGTTCAGGGTTTAGGGTTTCCCAGAAAAGACACCGAAGGCTCGAAAAGCAGCTCCCTGCCAACAAGACATGTCTTTAGAAGAGGCCCTCCCTGCAAATAGCCGGCAGGGAAGCAAATCTGCGCAGAGGACCTTCCTTTTCATATGTGAAGCCTCTGTAAGACCCCCGAACCCTAAACCTCTACAAGCCCTGAACCCTAAACCCTAAACCCTAAGCCCTACATCCTAAACCCTAAACCCTAAACCCTAAACCCTAAACCCTAAACCCTAAACCAAGCCTCAGCATCCTGGCTTCGCAACACAACCCCACAGGCAGGGCCTTAAGGGGTTTCGGGTTTCGGGTTTAGGGTTTGGGGTTCAGTGTTTAGGGTTTAGGGTTTAGGGTTTAGGGTTTAGTCCGTAGGGTTTAGGGTTCAGGGTATAGGTGTTAAATCTCACCCAACTCCAAAATCAATGATGCATACTTCTTGGTCCCCATCATTAAGGCTAACTAAGCCAAACTAAGGTTACTTTAGGGGTTTAGGGTTTCGGTTTTAGGGCTCAGGGTTTAGGGTTTCGGGAATCCATGGGATCAAGGTGCATACTTCTTGGCCAGGTCGTGCGCTTTCTTCATGGTCTTCGACTCTTGGACGTAGTGAAAGCTGATGGGACACTCCTGTCTTCATGGGCTTCCCTACCACCCCCCGCTATACTACACCCCCTAGGTTCCCCCCATAGTTATGGTTATTTAGGGATAATTAAGCCTAATTAAGGCTATTTAAGTGGGGAACCTAGGGGGGGTAGTGTAGAGGGGGGTAGTAGGGAAGCCCATGATGTCTGGACAAAAAGCAGGATATGGATAGTTCTCCAAAATAGGGCCCCTGTCGATCTGAGGCCCTTACCTTAAGGGCGCCGTACGATATACGGGACCCACAAAGGGACCGTAACTTAGAGAAAAACCTGCACCCGAAACCCTAACCCCTAAACCCATGTGACACGTTCTTTCTTGGGGTTCAGGGCTTCAGGTGTTTGGGCTTGGGGAAGGACCAGGGATCATGTTTCACCCAACTCCTAAATCCCTAACCCTTCTACAAAAACTCGGCCCACGTTTCCTTTTCGGATCAGCTAGCCGCAGTCAGGGACACGCAAAACGACGAACACCCTCAAGCCCCTGCACGCCCCAGAGCTCCGCGCGCCGTGCGACCACGTACTACCCCCTAAACCCTGAAACCCTACACCCCAAGCCCCAAGAACGCCCCTGAGCCCTAAGGCAATGAACACCCTAAACACGGAACTCCCAAACCTGAAGCCCGGAATATACAGGGATAGCGGCTGATATATATATATAGATAGATATAGATATAGATATACATATACATATACATATATATATATAGACTGTGTTCATGGATATTTATTTATGTTTTTATTTATATTTATACTTCTACTTGTATTTACATATATATGCTTTACTTACGTATATTTGTATTTCTTACTTACTTATCTATATACGTTCTCTAGGCTCCGCTTCAGGTTTAGGGTTTGGAGCTCAGAGCCCTAAACCCAAACCCTAAACCCTGAACCCTGAACCCTAAACCCGAAACCCTACAACCCTAAACCCTAGAACCCTAAACCCCAAACCCTAAACCCTAAACCCTAAACCCTAAACCCTAAACCCTCCTGCAGCTGGCCACCACCAGGAGCATGGAAGAAGCCTTCCAAGGCCTGGGTTTGTCAGGCGCGGAGACAAGCGAAGGGCTTAGGAGCGTTTAGGGTTTAGGGTTTAGTGTTTAGGGTTTTGGGTTTCGGGTCTCGGGTTTGGGGTCCTTAGGGTTTTAGGGTTTTTAGGGTTTTAGGGTTTTTAGGGCTTTTGGGTGTCTAGGGTTTTAGGGTTTTTTGGGTTTTTGCGGGCATTTTGGGGGTTTCTAGCGTATTAGGGCTTTTACGGTTTTAGGGATTTAGGGTTTAGGGTTAAGCCCTAAGCCCTGATGCCCTGATGCCCTAAACCCATGAACCCATGAACCCATGAACCCATGAACCCATGAACCCATGAACCCATGAACCCATGAACCCATGAACCCATGAACCCATGAACCCTAAAACCCTAAAACCCTGAAACCCTAAAACCCTAAAACCCTAAAACCCTAAAACCCTGAAACCCTGAAACCCTAAAGCCCTAAAGCCCTAAAACCCTAAAACCCTAAAACCCTAAAACCCTAAAACCCTAAAACCCTAAAACCCTAAAACCCTAAAACCCTAAAACCCTAAAACCCTAAAACCCTAAAACCCTAAACCTAACCCTTCAGGCTTTCCACAACTCAGGCGGGTCGCGGTCAAGTTCCACGTGGGGTTCCCGACTCTCCAGGGGTGCAGGCCATGCATCGTATGGACCTTGGTGCCGTTCTCCACGGCCAGGCATTCCTCGGTCCGGGTTAGCGTTTCGGTTTAGGGTGTAGGGTTTAGGGTTAGGGTTTAGGGCTTAGAATTTAAACAATGAAACCCTGAAACCCGAAATTAATGGGTGACCACGCCTGATGACAGAACGCACCGGCAATAGGGGGACCTAAACCCATGCAAAGTCTCTGTCGTGACGTCGCAGTACTTCGTGTTCTCGCAGTCCCTCATGTACCTAACTGGCTGATTTCTCTGCGGGAAACAAGTTCATCTGTTGGACTTATAAGGGGTTTCGGGTTTAGGGCCTAGGGTTTCGGGTTTAGGCTTAGGTATTCGGGTTTAGGGCTTAGGGTACAAACCCCCTAAACCCTGAACCCTAAACCCTAAACCCTAAACCCTAAACCCTAAACCCAGCACCCAGGGCACCTCTTGAAGAACTTGCGTGTGTCGTTGCCCAGCAGGACCTTGACAGCCTAGGGCGCACGCTTGGATCGAAGCCCTGGTCTTCAGGGCGTTACTCGTTCTCCTCGAAGGGAACGAGGGAGCTCCGCGCCCTAAATCCTAAAGGGTTTAGGGTTTAGGGTTTAGGGTTTAGGGTTTAGGGTTTAGGGTTTAGGGTTTAGGGTTTAGGGTTTAGGGTTTAGGGTTTAGGGTTTAGGGTTTAGGGTTTAGGGTTTAGGGTTTAGGTTTAGGGTTGAGGGCTTAGGGTTGAGGGTTTAGGGTTTAGGGTTTAGGGTTGAGGGTTGAGGGTTGAGGGTTGAGGGTTGAGGGTTTAGGGTTTACTTTCACGAACCCTGCACCCGACAGCCCTTGCGGGGTGCCTTGTAGCTCAAGGCGTACCCGCCTCCGCCACAGAAGCCACAGGGGCGTCCTTTCGTCACACAGCCTCTCGCTGGGGGCTTGAATTTAAGGGTCATGCGGGTTGTCCTTGAACCCTAGCCCTAAACCCTAAACCCTAAACCCTAAACCCTAAACCAAAAACCCCAAGCCCTGAACCCTAAACCCTAAACCCTTATTAACTGCAAGGGCTTGCACCCTCAACTGGCGGCCGCAGGATTCCCCAAAGGGTTGACTTTCCTAAACGGAACAACTGTTTAGGGTTTAGGGTTTAGGGCTCCGGGTTTATGAGGGTTTAGGGTTTAGGGTTCAGCTGCAACGGCCCCTTGCTAGCTTGGAGTGGGCTATCTAAGTAGTTCATGTACAGCAGCCCAGAGCCTGGATGTTTCTTAGGGCAGTTGCATGGTCCCGTAGTATGGGCCCCTAGAAGGGGGACACCTTCGATACTCCTTATATAACCCTTTTCAGCCCAAGGGCCCATACTTCGGAACGGGCGTTAAAGGAGGCAAGGGACCATATTCAGGGGCCCTAAACCCTAAACCCTAAACCCTAAACCTTAAACCCTAAACCCCTCCTACCCTTAGAATGTTCGTTGTTCAAAATGCCAGTCCCCTATGACCGTGAGCTAGGCTGCCGGTGCTGAGGGTTTCGACGCTAAGCGCTGTGGGCCTGTGGGTGCACGGGTTGAACCCTGGGATGTAGATTCTAGGCTTAGGGATTAAAGCTTAGGGTATAGGATCTCGGATTTAGGGTGTAGTTTCCAGCTCTAGAGTCTAGAACCACTTCCAGTTGGATATGCGAAGAGAGAGACCACGCACAGGACAAACCTCACAGCAAAATATCCAGACCCTAAACCATCTAAAGCCCCCCTCCCCTCCAGAACCCCAAAGAGCTTTGGGGCCTAAGCTCTGAATCCTAAAGCTCCCAAACCCCAGAGCATGAGGCTGTCGGAGAGCCTGTGATGCCGTAGCCCAAAGCTTCAGTTTGCAGCTCTGAGCGGGGATGTAGCCGAGCGAGCACGCGCCTTTCAAGCGGCTTAGGGTTGAAGGAGTCGAGAATGGACAAAAACCCCTGGCAAAACATAGCAGACGCTTATAGGGTTTAGGGCTACCTGCTAAACTGCAGAAGGCTTTGGGGCTGAAAAACAGGACGGCCTTCGGCACCTCTCCATGAGCTACTGCCATTACTAGTTGCTTAACAGTCCGCCAAAGACTGCAAAACATAGCAAGCTTTCTTATAAGGGCAATACAGGGAATACAGGGATTATCATTCTTTTTTCTTTGGGGGTGGGGGGGGGGGTGGCGGGGGGGGGGGAATTCTGGTTTAGGGTTCAGGGTTTAGGGTTAGGGTTTAGGGTTTGGGGTTTGGAATTTGGGGTTTGGGGTTTGGGGTTTGAGGGTTACGTAGTCGGATGTGGGGTATTTAGGGCTCTTAAAGACCCCAGCTCTGCAACAGAGACCCGTCGTAAACCTGCAAGCAGGCACCTAAGGTTCTCCACCACCACGTACACATCGTCATCTACGATGAAGACCCAGTCAAACGTCCGATTCCTGGGGAGGATCCAGCAGGTTTGGGGTTTAGGGTTTAGGGTTTAGGGTTTAGGGTTTAGGGTTTAGGGTTTAGGGTTTAGGGTTTAGGGTTTAGGGCCTTTCAGGGTTGGTTTGGGGTTTCGGGTTTTGGAGTTGGGGAATGAGGCAAGGCGTAGCCCTTCCATACACAGCCCTGAGGTTAACCCTAAACCCTAAACCCAACCCCCTCAACGCCCTGAACCCTAAGCCAAACCCTGAACCCTAAAAACCCATCACCCTGAGCCCTAAGCCCCAACTAACCCCCCAAGCCCCAAACCTGAATCCTCAACCTTCAGCCCCAAGCCCGACCCCCAAACCCTCAGCCCTAAACCCTCAGCCCGAAACCCTTATCCCTAAACCCTAAACCCCAAACTTTCAGCCCCAAACCCGAACCCTGGATGGCTCAACCCAGGCTCTCCATCTGGATAAGCGCATTGGCCTCGACGCAGCAAACCTTTCCCAGTGTGCTCGCGCACATTTCTCGTGCTGGCTTTTGGTCGGGAATGAAGGAATTAGGTACCATATATCCCCTCATACTACCCTTCAAGGGATGACAATTATATGGTACCTAATCCCCTCATTCCTCTGTCATTATGGGCTATCCTCTAATGCCATCCCTACTTCTGAGGGGGCACAAAACACAATGCTGGATCCCTGATTCCCTACTGAGAGCCAGTAAGTTCTTCGACCAGGGACGCCGGTAACCTTCAACTGGACAACCAGGGAATAACGGCGATTCCCTCTGAATGCACCATGAGCCCAAACCAAAACTCCTCAACCCTAAGCCCTGAACCCTGAACCCTAAACCCCTGAACAGGGGATCCCTAATCGTATCAACGTATAGCTTCTGAAGACCCAAAACCACGGAGCCCCAAATCCCTGACCTGTTGAGTCTTCTAGGGACTATGTAGGGTTCTATAGGGCCAATGGAATTCCACGAAACATCCATGATATTCGCGGGCGGCTTCTTTTGGCCATACCAGGACCCTGTTTCCTAACCCCTGAACCCCAAACCCCAGACCCTAAGCCCTAAACCCTAAACCCTAAACCCTAAACCCTAAAACCTAAACCCTAAACCCTAAACCCTAAACCCTAAACCCTAAACCCTTCAGTCTGAGAAGCACCCAGGGCGTGGTTGTCAGGGCAGTTGAACTCCTTGGCTTGGCAAAAGCTTCGGGGGCTCTAGGGTTTAGGGTTCAGGGTTCAGGGTTTGGGCTTTAGGGTTTAGGGTTTAGGGTCTAGTTAGGGTTTAGGGCTTGGGTTTTGGGTTTCGGGTTTCGGACTTCAGGGGCTTCTTAGGGTTTGGGGACGGTTCATGGTAGGGGGGTTTGGTTTCAAGTTGTCCTGTCTTTATGTACTGCCCAAGTCTATGCCCCAAGTCCTGAACCCTAAAATCCCAAAGCGCTGAACCCATCATCCCGAGGCCCCTGAAACCCCAAACGTCCTAGCGCGGGTTCATATGAACCCTTAAATGGGGACCCCTCATACACCCGGCATTTACCCGCAAAAAACCGGAGCCCCATACTTCACAACCCTTTAAAGAGGTAAGGGACCATATTAAGGGACCATGCAACTACCCTTAGAAAACCCCAAAACCCGGAACCAAAAGCTTCGTTGGGGGTTCTCAGTTCTGATGCCCCGGCACTCAGAAGCCATAGCCTCCACCATACCGTCGGGATTTCGGTTTACAGCAAACAGGGTTCAGGGTTTAGGTTTAGGGTTTTGTAGCCTTCAGTAAGCTCCAGAAAGTTGGAACATGACTTTTGGATTATTGGAGCTGGGATTTCCTTTAGTATACCTCTTGGGGTGCGGGGATAAGGATGCTCCAACTTTTGGAGTTTACTGTAGGGTTGGAGGGTTACTGTAGGGCTTCGGGTTGTAGGGTTTCGGGCTTAGGGTTGTCGGGTTTAGGGCTTCAGGGGTTGCAGCGATCAGGGTTTTAGCGTTGCAGAGTTCATTTCGGGACTATGGGCTTAGGATTTAGGGTTTAGGGTTTAGGGTTTAGGGTTTAGGGTTTAGGGTGTAGGGTTTAGGGTTTAGGGTTTAGGGTTTAGGGCACCGCCAAGACTCCATGACCGATTGCCGATCCCTCTCGGAGAGCTTCTTGTCAGGTTGGAGAACGAAGGACGTCACGAGGAGATCCTGCGCAGGATAGAGGGCTTCTACTGGGGTGTGGATTTGAGGAGCACCTAAATTTCCATAGTTACTACAGGATTCTGTAGGGCACGAGGCCCACAGAACTGCTACCATAGCATCAAAACCCTGAAGACCAGAAAACCTAAAAAACCCTAAACCCCCCCCCCAAAAAAAAAAAACAAAAAAACCCAAACCCCCAACCCTAAAACATCCTAGAACGTGGGCCTAGAACGTGGGGTAACACAAACAAAAAGATCCTGGATTGTCTCGAGTTCATGATTACCGTGGAGGGCTGTAGGAGCTTATGGGAGGCCTTCGGGCTTACAGTTTAGGGTTTAGGGTTTAGGGCTTGAGGGTTTTGGGTTTCGGGCTGAGGGCTTCGGCTTTCGGACTGCGGGTTAGAGGTTATAGGGCTTGAGGTTTCAACCTGCTTACCATCGTATCCTGAGGCTGTCTTTGCTGGCATCGATTAGTTCCAGAAAGTAATCCCGGAACCTCGGAAGGTCTCTAGGGTTTAGGGTTTAGGGTTTAGGGTTTAGGGTTTTGTAGGGTTTAGTAGGGTTTAGAAGGGTTTAGTAGGGTTTAGTAGGGTTTAGTAGGGTTTAGTAGGGTTTAGTAGGGTTTAGTAGGGTTTAGTAGGGTTTAGTAGGGTTTAGGGTTTAGGGTTGAGGGTTGAGGGTTGAGGGTTGAGGGCTTTGCAGTCCTCCCTGGAGATGTCGTCCATCCAGGTGTCCAACTGGCCTTGCAGACGCTTCCCGTAGTTCCGCGGCTGCGCGCGCGTGATGTAGATGATCCGCAGTTCCTTCTTCAGGGAGGCCTTGCCCCGGAAACCCCTCTTCTGTCAAGGACCTCTAAGCCTGGATCCCTAGGCCCAAAACCCGAAACCCTAAACCCTAAACATTAAACCTTAAACCCTAAACCCTACCAGGAACCGGCTCCAAGAACGAAAACTTGGCAGGCCAAAATATCCATGGGGCGGTCGTGGCCTTTCCCTGTACGGTTGATATGGGTGTAGTTCTCTGAATTAGGGGCCTTGTGTGGGGTCCTTGTATAAGGGTGCCGTACTATTTAGGGACCCAAAAGGGGACCCTGATTTAGAGAACTGCCCCCTGGAGGTTTCGGAACTAGGGGTCCCCTTTTTTGGGACTCCGATTCTAAGGGCTATAGCATTGTTGGCGGCATATTCAGGGGAATAGCCCGTGTCCTACATCGGAAGCCATGCAGCCCGACGCGGGTCTGTGCAAATTTGGGGCAACCCCAAACCAAAAACCCTAAACCCGAAACCTAAACCCTAAACCCTAAACCCTAAACCCTAATCCCCTAAACCCCCAAAACCACAAACCCTCAGCCCCTCGACGCCTGAAGGTCCGCCGCCAGCTGGCAGGTCCCCTTGTAGGCATGGAAGAGGGTCCATGCCAATGTCCCCACAGTCGCGAAGACTGTGCAGGTGAAGACGCCCATCCGCACCTTCACCGCGGAAGTGGGTTTAGGGCTTGGGGCTTGGGGTTTAGGGTTAAGGTTTAGGGTTTAGGGTTTAGGGTTTAGGGTTTAGGGTTTAGGGTTTAGGGTTTAGGGTTTAGGGTTTAGGGTTTAGGGTTTAGGGTGACGAGGCCCGAAGCCCTAGACCCTCTAAAAGCCTGAACCCTGAAGCCGTCCCTACTGCAGTCGGTTCTAAACTCTGGGCGGCGTAACCAATGACAATAACGATATTCTACAATTGACAATATAAAATAATCAGAAGAAAAGCCATGATAAAGTATGACAATGACAAGAACAAGAAGACGAAGAACAACAACAGAGTGAACTATAAGACATAAACATGAAAATAACATATTCACAACGGACATAGTGGAGGCTCAACCTAAATTCAAAAGGCCGACAAGAAAAGAACATGTACAATCCAACAACCGGGACCCAGAGCCCGAAGAAACAGAAGCAAAGCCTTGCCTCAAAATCGAAAATACCCCCCAAAAAGACACGAACCAACAACACCACAACAACAGAACCAATAGCACCAAAAAAAAATATGAACCAACAACACCAAGACCTCGAAACTCTCCCTAAACCCTAAACCCTAAACCCTAAACCCTAAACCCTAAGGCCTTGCACAGCCGACACTTGTCCACTCCACCCTTGGCATCCTTTGTCTCGGGCTCGGCCTGGAGGCAGTGCTACAACCCTTTAGGGTTAAGCGTTTAGGGTTTGGGGTTTGGGGTTTAGGGTTTAGGGTTTAGGGTTTAGGGTTTAGGGTTGAAAGCCCATCCTTACTAACCTGGGCAGCCCACTAGCCATATTCGAACCTAAACCCTAAACCCTCAACCCTAAACCCGAAGCCCTAAACCCTAAACCCTGAACCCTAATAACTAATAAGGGTACCCTTTTTGTTGGGTTGGTTCTGGGCTACCAAGTAACAAGGAAGTCAGAACTAAGAGGTCAGAAGCCAGCTCATCCGCAAGAAACATGATGAAGACTTGCTGTCCTCTTCCGCCAATACCGACTATGTCTTTCACGCCTCCTGTCCCTGCAGCTCACATCTAACAGCTGAAGGCTCTTGCAGGGTTTAGGGTTCAGGGTTTGGGATTTAGGGTTTAGGGTTTAGGGGTTAGGGTTGACAAAGATTCTGCTGCAGTTCCCTCGCAGCCTCGTAGCCCTTCTTTAGTGTTCCATGCGCTTCAGCATACTCAGCATCCCGTTGTCGCGATCGTTCTACTGCTGCATCTGCTCGGTGTGTGAAACATTCTGGAGGTGTGTGCACAAGGTTCCCCGGCAGCACTCGGTGCTCCCTAACCCTACACGGTACAAACCCCTAACAACTGAAAGCCTGAAAACCCTGGAAACAACCTACAGTAAACCCTCAACCCTCAACCCTCAACCCTCAACCCTCAACCCTCAACCCTCAACCCTCAACCCTAAACCTCAAGCCACAACCACAGATGGCCTGAACATCCGTTACGGGGAGGTAAGGCTCTGCTCGGCTCGCAGAGCAAGACGAGGCAGTAGCAGTGAGAGCCCCCAGGCCAAAAGCAAACAGGACCAGGAGCAGCGTCCTGCATGGCAGGTCAAAGCTTTAGGGTTTAGGGTTAGGGTTTAGGGATTAGGGTTTAGGGCTCTAGGGCCTTTAGGGTTCAAGGTATAAAACCCCTGAACCCACAGCCCTAGACCCTGGACGGGCTGTTGGGCTTTGAGGGTTTTGGGGGTTCAGCGGCCCAAACCCTACACCCCAACCCCTAAACCTGAACCCTAAACCCTAAACCCGAAACCCTAAACCCTAAACTCCCCTCCCCCTCCCTCGAACATCGAGGCCTGTGGCCCAGCTTCCAAAGCTTCTGCACCCCAGACACCAGCCGGCAGCGGCCGGACGCTAGCCAGCCTCGCTGGATTCAACCCCATAGGGTTTCGGGTTTAGGGTTTAGGGTTTAGGGTTTAGGGTTTAGGGTTTAGGGTTTAGGGTTTAGGGTTTAGGGTTTAGGGTTTAGGGTTTAGGGTTTAGGGTTTGGGGTTTGCCAATGTTCCGCGCACACCACCACGCAGGGCGTGTGTTGTGGTGTGCGCCTAGGTCCAACGCGCTCTCCCAACCCACCCACCCACATCTCAACCTTGGGCGGGTTTAGGGTTTTATAAATATCGTGTGTAAGTACAGTAGTGGGAGGGGGGGCTACGGGCCGCCTTTGACCAAATCCTGGGGTACCCCCCGCGAAGGAACCTTACGGGGAAGGCCCCTTACGGGGAAGGCCCCTTACGGGGAAGGCCCCTGACGGGGAAGGCCCCTTACGGGGAAGGCCCCTTGCGGGGAAGGCCCCTTACGGGGAAGGCCCCTTACGGGGAAGGCCCCTTATTACGTGCTCTGGCGGGGGTGCTCTGATGGGGGTGCTGTGGCGGGGGTCACTCTAAAGGCCCTGCCCCAGGATTTGGCTGGACCCGTAGTAAAAATGCGATTTTTTAGTACTGCAAAACGATGGTTTCGGGTGACCCTCCGTTTTACGGGGAAGGCCCCTTACGGGGAAGGCCCCTTACGGGGAAGGCCCGCCCCTTACGGGGAAGGCCGGAAGGCCCCTTACGGGGAAGGGGAAGGCCCCTTACAGGGAAGGCCCCTTCCCCCTTACGGGAGGTTTCTTACGGGGAAGGCCCCTTACCCTTACGGGGACGGCCCCTTCAGGGAAGGCCCCTTACGGGGAAGGCCCCTTACGAGGAAGGCCCTTTACGGGGAAGGCTCCTTTACCGGGGCCCCTTACGGGGAAGGCCCCTTACGGGGAAGGCCCCTTACGGGGAAGGCCCCTTACGGGGAAGGCCCCTTACAGGGAAGGCCTCTTACAGGGAAGGCCCCTTACGGGGAAAGCCCTTTACGGGGAAGGCCCCTGACGGGGAAGGCCCCTTACGTGCTCTGGCGGGGTGCTCTGATGGGGGTGCTGTGGCGGGGGTCACTCTAAACGCCCTGCCCCAGGATTTGGCTGGACCCGTAGTAAAAATGCGATTTTTTAGTACTGAAAAACGATGGTTTCGGGTGACCCTCCGTTTTACGGGGAGAGCCCCTTACGGGGAAGGCCCCTTACGGGGAAGGCCCGCCCCTTACGGCCAAGGCCGGAAGGCCCCTTACGGGGAAGGGGAAGGCCCCTTACAGGGAAGGCCCCTTACGGGGAAGTACGGGAAAGGCCCCTTACGGGGAAGGCCCCTTACGGGGAAGGCCCCTTACGGGGAAGGCCCCTTACGGGGAAGGCGCCTTACGGGGAAGGCCCCTTACAGGGAAGGCCCCTTACAGGGAAGGCCCCTTACGGGGAAGGCCCCTTACGGGGAAGCCCCCTTACGGGGAAGCCCCCTTACGGGAAAGGCCCCTTACGGGGAAGGCCCCTTACGGGGAAGGCCCCTTACGGGGAAGGCCCCCTACAGGGAAGGCCCCTTTCTTGGGAAGGCCCCTTTCTGGGGAAGGCCGCTTACGGGGAAGGCCCCTTACGGGGAAGGCCCCTTACGGGGAAGGCCCCTTACGGGGAAGGCCCCTTACGGGGGTGCTCTGGTGGGGGTGCTCTGGCGGGGGTCATTCTAAAGGCCCTGCCTCAGGATTTGGCCGGACCCGTAGTAAAAATGCGATTTTTTAGTATTGAAAAACGATGGTTTTGGGTGACCCTCCGTTTTACGGGGAGAGCCCCTTCAGGGAAGGCCCCTTACGGGGCCCCTTACAGGGAAGGCCGGAAGGCCCCTTACAGGGAAGGCCCCTTACGGGGAAGGCCCCTTACGGGAAAGGCCCCTTACGGGGTACGGCCCCTTACAGGGAACGGCCCCTTACGGGGAAGGCCCCGGCCCCTTATAGGGAAGGCCCCGGCCCCTTACGGGGAAGGCCCCTTACGGGGAAGGCCCCTTACGGGGAAGGCCCCTTACGGGGAAGGCCCCTTACGGGGAAGGCCCCTTTCTTGGGAAGGCCCCTTTCTGGGGAAGGCCGCTTACGGGGAAGGCCCCTTACGGGGAAGGCCCCTTACGAAATAAATCCTAAACCCTAAACCCTAAACCCTAAACCCTAAACCCTAAACCCTAAACCCTAAACCCTAAACCCTAAACCCTAAACCCTAAACCCTAAACCCTAAAGGATGGAGAGGCCTAACTTAAAAACCGAGGGTTTGGGGTTATTCTCTTTGGAGCCAGACTGTCGCTGGCACGCGGGTGAAACCCTTCTAGCGTGGGCCGCGCTCACCGCGCGCACCGGCCCCGAGCCCTCGCCAGGCTTCGCCTGACGGCTCGGGCTCGTCCGCGGGCCTGTCGCCACGCGGATCGCTCGCTGCTGCTTATCGCAGCACCCGCAGCTCGCTTGAGTTTAGGGCTTCTAAATCCTTATCCCTGAACTCTGAATCTGAGGCGCCGCGTTCCTTGCAGCAACCAAGAAATAGGGTGGGTGCCACAGCTTGGGCCCTTCGGACTTTCAGCCCTAACTCCCAGATCCCACGTCTTAATCCAAACACACCTGGTGGCGCCCTCGAAAAGGGTTTAGGGTTTAGGGTTAGGGTTTAGGGTTTAGGGCTAGGGTTTAGGGTTTAGGGCTTAGGCTTAGGGCTTAGGGCTTAGGGCTTAGGGCTTAGGGCTTAGGCTTAGGGCTTAGGGCTTAGGGCTTAGGGCTTAGGGCTTAGGGCTTAGGGCTTAGGGCTTAGGGCTTAGGGCTTAGGGCTTAGGGCTTAGGGCTTAGGGCTTAGGGCTTAGGGCTTAGGGCTTAGGGCTTAGGGCTTAGGGTTTAGGGCTTAGGGCTTAGGGCTTAGGGATTAGGGCTTAGGGCTTAGGGCTTAGGGCTTAGGGCTTAGGGCTTAGGGCTTAGGGCTTAGGGCTTAGGGCTTAGGGCTTAGGGCTTAGGGTTTAGGGTTTAGTGGGGGGGGGAGGGAGCCGAGTTGACTTTTGGTCTCGAAGTAGATTTTCCTAGGGCCGAAAAGCGGCTGTCAAAGTCTAACTGCCCAGGTCCTAAACCCTCAACCCTAAACCTTCAACCCTGAACCCTAAACCCTAAACCCTGAACCCTAAACCCTGACTGAACCCTAAACCCTGAACCCTAACCCTAAAGCTGCCAAGGGGTAGTGGGATTTGCCGTGCAAGGTCAGACCCAGAGCGGCTTCGGACTTTCAACTCATGGTGCTTTCTAGCCAAAAAAACTTGTCTTGATGCTCTGGGTATTATCGTGCCGTTGGGGATTCTAGAAGGGAGACCGGGTTGTACAAGGACTTATGCCTTACACGCGGCCACGCCAGCCCTTGTGGTTGACAGGCCAAACAAACCGCTACGAACTTGTCTTTATAAACGTCCTTAATTATGATGCACGGGCTCTTTGGGTTTAGGGTTTAGGGTTTGGGGTTTAGGTTTAGGGTTCAGGGTATAGGGTATAAAGCTTTGGGTTAGGGGAGATTTTAAGTTGCAGGGGTTTTAGTACAAGAGATGTGCACTCCGCTTCTTTCTCGGAAACCCTAAACCTGGACCGCTAACCCTAAACTCTAAACCCTGAACCCTGAACCCTAAACCCTAAACCCTAGCCCTAAACCCTAAACCCTAAACCCTCAATGCCGCCGCCAACCTGAGCAGCCGTCACCGACGCTCATTGCGCCGGCCAGGCACAAGGCCAGGGCCAGGGCACTTAGCACCACACCTCGTGGCAGAGGCTTGAGGGTTCAGGGTTGAAGGTTAAGAGCTGAGGGTTGAGGGTTGAGGGTTGAGGGTTTGAAGGTTCAGAGTTGAGGGTTGAAGGTTCAGAGTTGAGGGTTCAGGGTTGCGGGTTCAGGGCCGAGGGTTGAGGGTTGAGGGTTGGGGGTTCAGGGTTTTGGGTTTCGGGTTGAGGTTTGAGGGTTCAGGGTTTGAGGGTTTGAGGGTTTGAGGGTTTGAGGGTTTGAGGGTTTGAGGGTTTGAGGGTTTGAGGGTTTGAGGGTTTGAGGGTTTGAGGGTTTGAGGGTTTGAGGGGTTGAGGGGTTGAGGGTTTGAGGGTTTGAGGGTTTGAGGGTTTGAGGGTTTGAGGGTTTGAGGGTTTGAGGGTTTGAGGGTTTGAGGGTTTGCGGGTTTGAGGGTTTGAGGCTTGAGGGTTTGAGGGTTTGAGGGTTTGAGGGTTTGAGGGTTTGAGGGTTTGAGGGTTTGAGGGTTTGAGGGTTTGAGGGTTTGAGGGTTTGAGGGTTTTGGGTTTTGGGCCTGTGGCTTTGCTGAGGGTTTTGGGTTAGGGGTTGGCGCATAAAGCTTAAGGTTCGGGGCTGGGTCTGCGTGTACGGTCAACTTCGTGCGTGCGACGAAGAGGCTCATCATGGCCTGATGCTGCTGATAGTGATGATTAAGGTAATGCTGATGTTGATATGCTGATGGTGATAATGTTGGTGTTTCTGTGGCTCCCGCTGCCACTGCCGCTGCCGCTGCCGCTGCTGCCGCTGATGATGATGATGATGATGATGGTGATGATGACGCCGATGTTGCTGCTGTTGTTGATGATGTTGATGATGACGATGGTGGTGATGGTGATGGTGATGGTGATGGTGATGGTGATGGTGATGGTGATGGTGATGGTGATGGTGATGGTGATGGTGATGGTGATGGTGATGGTGATGGTGATGGTGATGGTGATGGTGATGGTGATGGTGATGGTGATGATGGTGATGATAATGGCTAGCTGAGGGACGACTCTCACTGCGAAGGAAGAAGGTGATGATAATGGTGATGTTATACTGACAGTGATAATCCGCAATTCTGATCAGCATCACGTGATTTAAGAAGACTTGTCATCATACGAGCAATATCATCATGAGAACGACGATGGTGATCATAACAATGAGGATGATGATGGTGATGATGATGATGATGACGATGCTGATGATGACGATGATGATGACAGCGAGGACGGGGACGAGGACGATGAGGATCGTGATTATCCTGCTGATGATGACGGTAAGGGAGGCGGCGGCTGTGGTGGTGCTGATGCCGGCGAAGGTGCTGGTGAAACCTAGACACCTGCATTGCTGACGAGGATAATGAGCGGGTGGAAGATGCATAGACTTGAACATCAGAGACCTTCCAGTCTATAGCAGTCTAGACTCAACCTCTATACTCGTTCCAAGGACTCGACACCTCAAAGAGCAGAACACTCAAACCCTCCCCCGGCCCAGTGAGGTCAAAGGCACAACCCAGGCGAGCGCAGCGTCTTCTGTGCAGGGCCACCAGGCAGCGAATGCAGCCATGAATGCAAGCCAGGGCGGACAGCAAGCCAATTGCGAAGCCTGACGCGACCCCTGAAGCTCTGAAGCCACGAACCCTCCACCCTAAACCCTAAAGCCTAAGCCCAAAACCCTAAACCCCGGAACTCCCGGAGAAGAGTTAAAAATTGAAACAAAGTAACCCCTCCGTTTGGGGTTATTGCTTAGGCACAAGTGCTTTCCCTACCCCTCCCGGCCACACACCGGCGGAAGCTACCTTAACAATTTAGAGTCTTAGCTTCTTCAGAGCTAAGGGCTACAGGCCAAACCCCACAACCCCAAAACCTGGCTTTAGGGTTTAAGGTTCAGGGTTTAGGGGCTGAAGGGGGGGGCAGCAGGGGTCAGCGGTTTGAGCTGGCGGCCAGACGTGAAGCTAAAAAAAGTGACCGCACCTGCGACCATGCAGAAGGCAATCACACGTTTGTCCATCTTTCCTTGGCATCCAAAGCATCGGACTCTTTGGAATTTTCTGCTTAGCCTAAACCCTAAACTAAACCCTAAACCCGAAACCCGAAACCCCAAACCCTAAACCCTAAACACTTGAAGGTTTTGGGGTGGTCAGGAAGCTAAGCCCGAAGACTGTAACACCCTTCACTCCACCGCTCCAACAGCCTGATCCCCTTAAGGTTTAGGGTTTAGGGTTTAGGGTTTAGGGTTTCGGGTTTCGGGTTTCGGGTTTCGGGTTTAGGGTTTAGGGTTTAGGGTTTAGGGAATGCCTTGGGGCACGGAGCTCTGTCCGTCGTCCACAGTCAGCAACGCAGGACAAAGCCCGAAAAAGAAATGAGCCACTGCAGAATTCGAATCTGCCAGGCTTATCCCTAAACCCTGAACCCTAAGCCCTGAGCCCCAAATCAACCATCAGGGTTTTGGGATCTCAGGGTTCAGGGTTGAGGCTTTCCGGGGATCCATCCCCCCCCCCCCCCCGCAGGGCCCTTAGAAGCAAAGAAGGAGTGCAGTACCCGTACCCTAAGCCCTAGACCCTAATTAAACCCTAAACCCTAAACCCTAAACACTGAACCCTAAACCCTAAACCCAAAACCCAAAACCCTAAACCCTAAACCCCAGACCCTAGAAAAGAAGGAGGGCCGCCGGGTGTCGCAGCTGCGCGAAGGTTTGGAAGGCAATGCGCTCAGGGGGATCTTTGCCTCCCAGGATGAATTCTAGGAGTTCTCCTGCCCCGCGAACGGGCTTAGGGTCTTTAGGGCTTCGGGTTTAGGGTACAGGGTTGAGGGCTTAGGGTACAGGGTTGAGGGCTTAGGGTCTTTAGGGCTTAGGGTTTAGGGTACAGGGTTGAGGGCTTGGGGCTTAGGGTTTTTGAGCTTAGGGTTTAGAGAGTATCACCTTTATAGAACCTCTACAGCGCCGATCTTCAGAGGGGCCCCAAGTCCTACGTAGCCATCTGCAACCTATAGAAGCCCCTCCAAAGAACCCATAGTGACGTTTAACAGATACATCACGCCACAACAGCATAAAGTACTAAATACTACAATTCGCCTACAACATATAAAAAATGTATATATATATATATGCATATATCTCCGGCTTCTTATAGCCAAACAGAATACTGCATCGACATGTTGTAAACAGAGAGCTCTCCCACCCTGAACCCTAAACCCTAAACCCTCAACCCTCAACCCTCAACCCTCAACCCTCAACCCTCAACCCTAAACCCTAAACCCTAAACCCTGAACCCTAAACCCTAAACCCTAAACCTCAAACCCCCCCCCCCCAACATACAAGCACGGGCCTAAGGCCGCCTCATTGAAGGCCAGGCTTGTGACGGGCTGTCCCAAGAAGCTCGTGCACATCCTTGGTCCCATGTGGAGGGGTAGGGTTTAGGGTTTAGGGTCCGCCGACCCTGGCGGCGTGTTGGATGGGTTTGAGGAGGTGAAAACCCCTCTCCCTCCCCAAAACGGGGGGGGGGGGGTGTGGGTGGCTTAAATAGGGTCTATTTGGAAGCTGGGACTCGAGTTTTCTTATAGCCATACACGTTTCCACGAGGGTACGCTGCTGTCACGTCAGTCGTACTATGGAGGCCTCAGGAACAAGAACCAGGTAGTTCCTCTTTTCTCTTCTCTTTTTCTCCTCAATCCTAAAGTCGAAGGCTCTCGTGAGGAGAAGAGAAGGGAGAGAAGGAGGGAAAGATAAGAGGAACACGATTTTCATGGGAAGAGCCAAGAAAAGAATAGAAGAGAGATAAAACAAGGCGCAAAGAAGATGGTACTCTTCTTTATCTATCCTCTCTCCCTTATCTCTCCGTTCCCTCTGTCTTTTCGAAATGAGAAAAACAAAAAGAAAGATGAAAAGAAGAAGGGTTAGGAAAAGAGCCGAAGAGATAGGCCGAAAAGAGGGGTATGGTGAAGTACGGCAAAGGTCCACGCACAAGGAGTCACCTTCTGCTTACCCTTCCACTGCTTGATTTTACAAGCTCATTTCTTGTGTTTTATCAGTTAAAATTAAAAGGAAACAGAAGGAAGAAGGGAAAGGGAAGTGAGAGAGGAGAGACAACAAGGAGGCCATTTTAATTTCCTGTGAGTTATCAAAAGGAATGCAATATTATGGGAAGAGCAATGGAAAAAAAGAGTGGAAGAGAAATTAAGACAGGAGAGGGAGGTGCAAAAATAAGGCAAAGAGAAGATGGTGCCGTTTTCATCTCACCTCTCGTTCTTATCTTCCTCTTCTCTGGTTCTTTTCCCTGTGAAATAAAAAAACAAAAGGAAGGACAATGAACATATAAAGGAACCCGTTTTCGTTTTCCGTTTGGGCACAAGGAAAAAAACAGAGGCGATAGGGCGAGAGGAGGGGTTTGCTGAAGCATGGGGAGGGTGTACGGGCAAGGGGCCAACTCCGCCCACTTCCCCCATCCATTGAAAGAGGAAAAGGAACAGGGCCTCCATTCCCCTCTTATTCTTCCTTTCTTGCGTTTTTGTCGTTTAGAAGGGAACAGGAGAAGAGGAGGGAGAGAGAAGGAGAGAGGAGACATAAAAAGGGTTGCATTTTTAATGGGAAGAGCAAAGAAAAGACCAGAAGAGAGATGATGGGAGAAGAGGGGGAGACAAAACAAGGCGCACAGAAAATGGGCAGATAAGAAGAGAGGAAAGGGAATGACCAAGTACAATGAGGAGTTCTTCAATTTCCCTCCCTATCTCTTATGTTACTTTTCCTTCTTGTGGGGTGTCCCTTTTTCTCTTGAAGATGCAGAAAACGATTGAAAAGGACACCCGTTCCATCGCCCATATGTAGGGAAAAAGAGAGAGAATCATGAGCATCAGCTGGGCTTGCTGCCAATCCAACATGGGCGTCCCTTTTAATCGCATTCTGTGTCCTTTTTTCTCGCTTGAAGATGCAGAAAACGATCCAAAAGCACATCTGTTGGAGGAAGAGAGAAGGAGAGAGGAGAGATACCAAGGATTGCATATTT